CCCCCCCGCCCCGCCCCACAGCCCCGCCATTGTGGACCCAGCAGACCGGCTCGCCGCTGACCTCTCACCCCTATCAAGGGGCGGAGAAGGGGAGCGTCCGGGATACGGCCAATCAGAAGCCTCGGGTCCTAAGCTCCGCCCCCGGATGAAGGGTTGAGGAGGGACCCGTCCCGCGGCGGAGCAGCTCCAGACCCGCCAGGGGACGGTAGACCAGCGCGCTAGGACCCGGAGGGAGCCGGTCCCGGAGCCCCAACGGTCTTGTCCTCCACCCCCACACCCACCCGGGTGCTGAAAAAGCTGGTTTAGGGCCCACATACGACAGCCACAGATCCACCGCCAGCCAATCGGGTGCATCCATGCCCCTTTTAATTTCCTGCTGGCTATTTTGAAACTAATGTCACCTGGAAACACCTCTGTATCTGGACCCACGCTCAATTACTATGCCTGTCCTACGGAATCAATTTGAAAGAGTCATGAGGCCAAGCTGCAGCAAGCACGGAGAGCCGGAAAGACAAACGCAACAGGTTTGCGGATAGCAGAGAAGCACCAACTTCTCCAGAGGAGTAGGATCATAAACAGCAAAGAATTACCTGTTTCAAGGGCGCCAGAGGCTGAACCCTTTTTCCTAGTTAGGAACCCCGGTTTCCCTTGTCCTTGCCTCCTCTCTCGCTGCAACCCTCATCACCACGTTTGCTCACTGGGTTAGTTTTCTTTAGGTCCTGTTTTCATTACAGAGATTCCTTCAGTGAGAGGGGCCTGTAGAAGGAACTACTTGTCATTGTTGTCCATCCATTTTGTAAGAAAGCTCCATGGGCACCCACCGGAAGCCACAGGTGCCAGCTTACAACATGATGTGTCCGTAGTGTGGCCTATGAAATGTAAGGACCGTGACGTTCAAAAGGAAGAGTACGGTGTGGTGGCTCTCTTCCCTAATCCCAGCATTCAGAAGCCTGAGGCAGAAGGATGGAGATGATGATGATGATGTTAGATGCGGTGATACAGGCCTGAAAACCCAATATTTAGGAACCTGAAGCAGTAGGATCAGGAGTTTAAGACCAGCCTAAGATACGTGTCTAAAACAAATACCTGTCTAAAAACAAATCCAAAGGGGGTGGAGAGTATGTTCTCTATGCCCTGTTTTTTCTTTTCTAAATGAAGACATGGTGGATCCTGAAGTGTAGGGAGAGACCCTGGATACCTGTGCCTCTGACCATGCCCGTTTGGGCGTGGCCACAGGTACATAGAGGGGTAGGATAAAGATCAAGGAGGAGAGGCGCTGGCCCTCTCCAGGCCTGGACTCGGTTCCTCGTGTGAGTATTCCTTCTTAATAAATATACCAGTTAATAACCTATCCAGCGTTCGATCCTGTTCCTCTTCACTGGAGCAGCCATCTGGAACCAGAAGCTAACCACATCATGAACCTGGAATATAATATGAAAAGCCCAGGTCGCTGACACTGTAGAGCCCTCACTGCAACCTCCTACTGCACTGTTACATGAGAATAGCTAACGTTTTTCTTATTTAAATCTCTGACATTCCGTCTGTTAGGGCAGCTTATCTCATTAACTTTTCCTACGGATATGCAAACAACCGCCACAAATATAAATAAATATCCACCCTAGTTATGGTACAAATGGCAGGCCAAATAAATTACTCTACCTATCTGGCTTGTTGAACCACTGAATTTAACTGGGATTTCTTAGAGCATTGATAACTTAAAGGTTGCTACCCCACCAAAGAAAAATGCCCCCACCCAGCAACCATTAGCATTATATATCCTCAGGGAGAGACAGAGCCTTCTGAGCCCCCCCTACCTACCCTTCACAGGGGAACATAATAATTTTTTTAATTAATGGAACATTAATCTGGTGAGGGTCTCATCTGTGTCATCACAGATGTTCTGGTTTCAAAATTACATCTGCCATGTTATGGTCAGAAAACAGTATCCCACAACACAGCTAAGACTGTATTCTAACCAGGAAGGCACCACACCACCACGATGAAGCCTGAAGTGCATGACACCTTAAGAGAGAGAACCCCAACCATGTGAACAAGGAAGCTAATGGCCCTTTAAGGCCACTGCACGCTTTTGGTAAAACCATCACTTTCAATATCATAGGCAGTGTTGATGACACTGTCATTGATGGAATGCACAATCCTAAGACAATGCGTCCAAGGCAAAGTTGGCCATTCCAGAAATTGGACATTCCTACCGAGTAGGATTTGTGTCTTGCGGTTTTGGGTGCTTATTATTCCCAAATCATTCTTCCTGTTAGCAATGTCTGAAAATGATTCTATTTCATCTAATGTTCTCTTTTTAGGATTTATTACATTTTATGTGTATGAATGTTTTGCCTACAGGTACACTTGTGTGTCAAGTGTCCATGGAAGTCAGGAGAAGGACTGGAGTTACAAAAGGTTGCCCGCTACTGTCTGGGTGCAGAAAACTGAACTTAGATCTTCTGCAAGAACAATCAGTGCTCTTAACCACTGAGCTGGAGGTGATATAACCATGAGAGGCAGCTTTCTCACAGGCCTTTCCATGGCCTGCTTTCTGACACTCCCCAGTTAGCAGACAAGCATTAGTAGCTTCTCTTGCTCACCTCTGCCAATACTTGAGGCAAAACCATTTGTCTTCTTTATCTAATTCTTGTAGAGCAATCTTTGGCAGAGTTTTAGAAATTGCTGGACCTTTGTTCTGAAACACTAAACTCCTACACTAGAATCACACCACATTCTACCAGTTAAAGTGGGATCTTCTAGATGCCAGCAGTTACTGGGGTTTTTGCCTTAGCCCTTCCCACCCACAACCCTCACCAAATAAGTCAAATACAAGCCAAAGCATCCTTACAAAGAATTCCATAATGCAGGTAAGTAACCTTTTCCTACAAAGGGACACAATAAAATATTCAAGGCTTTAAGACCCACATACATCTCTCTCTATGCTCAAGTATCTTTATTTGTGTGACAGTCCTTTTAAAGTGTTTTTGTTTGCTTGTTCTGTTTTTGAGGACCGGAAAAAGTCAGGTATAATGATACCCACAACATGGAAGGAGAGAGCCAACTCCCACAAATTGTTATCTGACCTGCACATGGATGGCATGGGATATGTGTAAACACACACACTAATTTTTCTATCTGAAGAGTAAAAGTAGTGCACTGAATAAAAGATGATACTATCTAGATGTATTTATATTTTTTGCATTTGTTTTGCCTTATAGTTTTTTTATTTTATTTATTATGTATACAATTATCTGCATGCATGCTTGCCACCAGAAGAGGGCACCAGATCTCATTACAGATGGTTGTGAGCCACCATGTGGTTGCTGGGAATTGAACTCAGGACCTCTGGAAAAACAGTCAGTGCTCTTTACCTCTGAGCCACTTCTCCAACCCTTGTATTTATATTTATATTTTGTGTGTGAGTGTTTTGCCTGCATGAATTTATGTGCACCACATTTGTCTGATGTCTGTGGAAGTCAAAAGGCATCAAATACTTAGAAGTTGAGTTACACACAATTGTGAGCCACCATGTAGGTACTGGGGATTGAACCTGGGCCCTCTGAAAAAAAGCAGCCAGTGCTCTTAACTGTTGTTGAGCCATCTCTCTATCCCTGATAAAAAATCCAATTGTGCACAACTCCATGCAAACCCCCTTTTAATCAGCCCATGAAATAACCTGTCACACTGTCAACTCTGGCCCAGAATAACAGTTCTGGGAGATTCTTGAAGCTTCCAGTGATCATGCTTTATATACAAGACCTTTTCATCCTGGCCACAACTTACAAAATAAGATATGAGCCCAACTATAATGTCAATTTGGAAAATTCTCAGAGATGGGGTCCCCAACTCCATCCTCAAATCTCTGTCCACAATTATTTTCATGGAAGCAAAGGGAAAATACTGAATGACCACTGTCCTTCAGGCTGATGTATCTAACTCTAATCCACACCAGGAAAACAGCAACATTGTAAATACTGTTGTTAGGAAGCTTCTTGTGTGTTCTTACTAATAAGAGTAGACTGAGGATAAACCTAACTCTTTTGTGTCCCAAAAGATCAAATAGCCACAATGTGTAAGTTCTATTTCAGATGAAGGAAATAGATAAGATACTATGTAGTGTATACTCCCACCAGTGGTCTGAATGTGTCTTTCAAGCTTTGGACTCTTAAGGTAACAATTAGCTTTAGGCTTTACACCAGATGAGACAGTTGATGAACATCTGTGAACATCTAGGTAGCAGCAGAGAAGGGACAACAAATCTTGGCGGTGTGAGTCCAGAGCCTGTGTAATCCTCTATGCTAAAAACCCCTCTACACCCATGGCTCCAACTGTAGTAGCTTTTAATTTAAAAAAAAAAAAAGGTTTTTTTTTATTTATTTTATGTGTTTGAGTGTGGTGAAACTCTTTGGTTCATTCTGGTTAGCCAATCACTGACTCCACCCTCTGGTTCGAGGTTGAACTTTATTGGCAGTCTCTGAGTGTCTGTGTGAACAAATCTCCTGCAACAGGAGACCCTTGGATTCATAGTGAGTTCTAATCAATCACTAGAAAACAAATTGAGACTCTTGTCAGAATAAAAGAAAATTTACACTAGATAGAAGCAACTGGAGTCTGTAATGATTAATTCTATGGATTAACTTCACTGGAATAAGAGGTGGAAAGTTGGCTAGCAAACTATTCCTGGGTGTGTCTTCAGGGGTGTCTGCAGAAGTTAGCTTGAGTCAGAAGCGTAAGAAAAGAGAGCCTTCCTCAGAGCAGGCTCCACCATCCAATCCCTGACAACCAGAACAGAATTCAAGATGGACAAGGAGGGCAGATTCCCTGACTGCTTAGCTTGGAGCTCTATTTTGGACATCAGTGTTAATGGTTCTCTGGCTTTGAGACTGATCCTAACACCGCCCTTCAGGCTTTTGTACTTGGCTTGCTGCTTAACTTGCAGAGGGCAGAAAGTAGGACATCTGTCTTCTATCACTCTAAG